CTTTTGAGCACCCCCTGCGAACTGTCCCATGTTTGCGCACCTTCAACTGTAGCAAAAAATCTGGCATCCAGAACATCATACAAGGTAACACGCAGCAACATGATTTCTGACTAAAAGATCCCTATTAGATGCTATGGGATCTCCGAATGGCCGAAGGCCAGCTGCAGGCCTCCTCTAAGGCACTATTTGGACACCATCGGAACAATCGACCAAGACGCAACCTCAGGTGCAAAGAAGCTTCAGAATTAGCAGCTAATCTGAGGTTATTTCTTGTAGCGGGGGACTTGCAGGCGCCTGTGGTGGAAATATCGAGCACGAGATTCTCGCACAAGATGCGTGCAATAAAGAAGTTTGTAGCACATTGTGGGGCCCGTTGCAGAGGTGAAAATGGAGATTTTGCAGAGCTTGCTGCACTGGGCACACCGACCCTGTGACCATGGACAACATCCCCAGTTATGTAGCAAATCTATGGGATGGTAGAGCATTCTTGCAAGTGAAACAACATGAGATGCACATATATAGGCGATTCGTAGCACAGAAAGACTGCGGACATGTCGATAGCACACAAAGACTGCGGACATGTCGGCGTCTCACTGATCGCGTGCTCTTTTGTTTTCTCTTGCCATCTGCGTCTCTCCCATGCACGAACTATTTCGGTCGGACGCAAGGGCACCCAGTCTTTGTGTGTTACGAATCGACGATACATCTCTGACCCATCCAAGAAGTGCTAGTCTTAGCAAAAATTCATGCCAACTATAGGACCGGGACCTAGGACCGGGACTACTTCAGAAAGCCTGCAAGAATGCGCTGTCTGTGCTCGTGGCGAATAGCGTGCATAGCAAAGCACCGCGATGCGTCAAGAAAGGCTCCCAACTCTATGTCGTCCATGGAGTTGTTCGCGGTGGCTTTGATGTCTTGCTCCTATATGGCCTACGAGACAGTTTTGCACAGCTCAAGACCCGTCTGCTTAGGTTTGGTGCTGATCTCGAAGGGATGCGAATACTGGTGGACTACGAAAGACTAGCCATCGCCGCCATTCGCACCACCGACTTACGCGCTACATCTCTGGTGAAAAAGCCCCAGCGGAAGCCGCTGAATGGTGGAACACCATCAAAAGCTTAGGCCCGTATGCACGTACATCC